CTTCTGTCTGACCTTCTGTGTGTCCTTCTGACCTCGTGTGTGACCTTCTGACCTTCTGTGTGACCTTCTGACCTTCTGTGTGACCTTCTGACCTTGTATGTGACCTTCTGACCTTGTATGTGACCTTCTGACCTTGTATGTGACCTTCTGACCTTGTGTGTAACCTTCTGACCTTGTGTGTGACCTTCTGACCTCGTGTGTTCAGACAGCCGTTCCCAGCTGGTGACAGGGTGACCTTCAATGGGAAGGAGTGTATCTGCCAGAAGTGCAGCCAGCCGCTGCCTGCTAACAGTCCGGCCCCCATCCAGGCGGTCCACAGTCAGTCAGCTCCTGATCCCTCACCTGTTTTCATTCTATACCTTCCTGTTGATGATGTCAGAGGTTAACCTTCTCTTCTTCTCCTGGTTGGATGCTCTGCAGACTGCTGCGGCTGCGGGAAGGAGTTCAGGAATGAACAGTCTCTGGTTGCTCTGGACAAGCACTGGCATCTGGGCTGCTTCAAGTGCAAAGTCTGCAACAAGGTTCTGAATGCTGAGTACATCAGCAAGTAAGTAGCTGTGAACGTTTGGAGATGACCTCTGGTGGCTCTAGTTCAGCCTAAAGCTCTGACCTCATCCTCCATCACATGATCACTGGACCATACTCCAACTGGCTGTTCTCCTGTGTTCTCCACGCAGGGATGGGATCCCCTACTGCGAGATGGATTACCACGCCATGTTTGGAATCCAGTGTGAGAGCTGTAAGAAGTATATCACTGGGAAAGTACTGGAGGTACGTGGCTTTACTGGGAGCAAGTGGTTCTGCTGGCATGGAGTACGTCTCCCACTTCCTGTTTCCTTCACCCAGCACATATTTAAAGTTAGTTTGGGTTTGAATGGTTTGACTTTTATGAAGCAGAGGAAACTCTCAGGTTGTTTTTCATGTTGTTCACTTCAGTGAACCAGTTTATGAACCAGTTTGGCACCAGAACATGAAGATCATTTTAGCCTGTATTCACTGTCCTCCCACAGTGCACTCTATGATGTTCTACATTAATGGTATTTCATATTTAATCATATTTATGCTGTGTTTGGACGACAGCTCAAATGATGGTCAAACAATAAACTCTAAACACATTTGAATAAATTCACCACAACTTCCACTCAGAAGTTATTATTGAAAATGATTCAACTCAAAGTCAAACATGTTTCAGTAAAAAAATAGAAAAAATCAACTAATAAGCTACTCTGTACTAATGAACTGGTTAACCATTGAGAAACCTGGGGGTTTACCAGCAGCTAACTTTTTATTAGCCAGGTACTAATGAAAGTGCTGGGTACTAATGAACCAGCCAGGTACTTAGGGACCGGCTGGGTACTAACGGACCAGACAGTTACTAACGAACCAGCTGGGTACTAACAAACCGGCCAGGTGGTAACGAAAGGGCCAGATATTAACGAAATGGACCGTTACCAACGAACCAGCTGGGTACTGACAAACCAGCCCGGTAGTAAAGAAAGGGCCAGGTACTAACGAACTGGGTACTAACGAACTGGGTACTAATGAACCAGCCGGGTACTTAGGGACCGGCTGGGTACTAACGGACCCGGTACTAACAAACCGGACAGTTACTAACGAACCAGCTGGGTACTAATGGACCGGTACTAACAAACCGGACAGGTACTAACGAACCAGCTGGGTACTAATGGACCGGTACTAACAAACCGGACAGGTACTAACGAACCAGCTGGGTACTAACGGACCCGGTACTAACAAACCGGCTCGGTACTTATGGACAAGCTGGGTACTAATGAACCGACTGGGTACCAACGAACCAGCTAATGAACCGACAGGGTACTAATGAACTGACCAGGTACTAACGAACCAGCTGGGTAATAATAAACCGACAGGGTACTAACGAACCGACTGGGTACCAACGAACCGACCGGGTACCAACGAACCAGCTGGGTACTAACGAACCGGCTAATGAACCGACAGGGTACTAACGAACCAGCTGGGTACTAACGAACCGACCAGGTAC